ACTGTATAGCACAGGGAATTGTATTTAATATCCTGTGATAAACCATAATGGAAAAGAGGATGAAAAAGAATATATATACATATATGTATAACTGAATAACTTTGCTGTACAGCAGAAATTAACACAACACTGTAAATAAAGTACACTTCAATAAAATTTTAAAAAGTCTGGTTCCAGGCATTAGGGTTCCTGGAGCACCCTTGTTTTCTACCTTGCCATGGCTCATTCTTAGTTGGTCAACTTTTCCTTTGAATCTGTGAGCTGGCCCGCTGCCCATTCAGGATCCCCCCACACCTTCCTTTTTATTTTTCTTCTCCTTCTTCTTCCTCTTTGTCCTCTTCGTCCTCTTCCTCTCCTTCTTCTTCTTTTTTGCTTGTAGCAGTTTGAGTTGGGTTGTTAAAAGAAACTCGTCTACTAATAAATTCAAGCAATTCTTAAGTGTGTGAGGTGATAAAACAATTATTGCCCACTACAGTGAGCATGGAAGACTTTTATATTCAGGAAAAAAACTGATAATGTATTTCAAAAAGAAACTCAAATGTGTAAATATGTGTTATAAAGATTTTGTTGCAGTGTTGTTTTTTTTAATATTTATTTATTTGGTTGCATGGGGTCTTATTTGTGGCAGGCAGGCTCCTTAGTTGCAGCACGTGTGCTCCTTAGTTGCAGCTCCAGGGCTCCTTAGTTGTGGCATGCAAACTCATAGTTGTGGCATTCATGTGGGATCTAGTTCCCTGACCAGGGATTGAACCAGGGCCCCCTGCATTGGGAGCACAGAGTCTTATCCACTGTACCACCAAGGAAGTCCCTGCAGTATTGTTTTTATGACATTGAACTATCAATACTTCTGTGCTTTTCTTACAACCTTCTATTATTATAAAACACCTATACATATACATCCTGTAAACTTGCTTTTCTCCCTTATATTAGGTTTTCATATTAATGTACAGTTTCCTCTTTGTAAAAGCTACATAGTGTTCCATTATATTATTGTGTCATAATTTATTAAGTCTCTGTTCTGTATTTGAATTGTTTATGAGAATTCTCTTGGTTGAGTATAGTTCCCTGTGCTATAAAGTAAGTCCTTGTTGGTTATCTATTTTATATATAGTACTGTGTATATGTTACTACTTCATTTTAAGAAGAACGTTATTGGGCTTTCCTGGTGGCGCAGTGCTTGTGAGTCCGCCTGCCAATGCAGGGGGCATGGGTTCCTGCCCCGGTCCGGGAAGATCCCGCGTGCCACGGAGCGGCTGGGCCCGTGAGCCATGGCCGCTGAGCCTGCGCGTCCGGAGCCTGTGCTCCGCAACGGGAGAGGCCACAACAGTGAGAGGGCCGCATACCGAAAAAAAAAAAAAAAAAAAAAGAAGAAGAACGTTATTGTATTCTATTATACAGACATACAATGATCTATTTATGCAGTTCCCCTGTGATGGACAGTTAGGTTATTTTTCATTTTCCACCATCACAAATAATGTTTCACATATATCCTTCTTTATTTTTGCAAGCAATGTGTAGGATAAATTCATAAGACTGGAATCACTTGGTTGGAAGACAAACAAATTTAAAATGTTGAAAGAGACTGCAAAATTTCTTTCTGAAAAGGTTGTGCCTATTTACATATTCTCTGTGGTAAACTAGTGCCTGGTCTTCTTTTCTTTTTGTGCAATGGAAGCAGTGCTGCCCAAATATGCTCACTCAGAGTTGTACTGAAAACTCAGATTTATATCCATACTTTGTTGAAGAAGTCTCTTTTTTTACCCTCTTAAAAATGCTCTCATTATAAAAGTGGTATGTAATCATTAGAGTCACCCAAAGTAAGTGGAGAAAAGAATAGCCCACCAGTCCATGGAAAGTTCTGAAATAGAAGCTCCCAGAGGACAGAGTTCTCGCCAGTCTTGCTCATCATGGTATCTTCAGTGCCTGGGACAATGCCTAGCACAGTGCATATTTGTTGATTAAAGGAAGAAAAAAATAGCCCAGGAGGCTTCACAAAATAATGACAACAAAACCACTAACCTCCCTGAATTCCCTTCTTCCTTGAAAACAGGCAAATATACAACCCACACACCACAAAGGAAACAAGGTTTTGACTCTTGGCCAACAGTGAATTGCAATTTTTTCCTTCATTATTCTGAAAAAGGGACTGAATGTCCAGGTGATCTTGAACGATTCTTGGAGCGTACCTCAAACTTGGTTTAGGTTTTTTGTTAAGTATCCAGTTTATATCTGATTATTCCCTCAATTATGCCATGAACATTTGTGGATATCATGTACCGAGCACTGGGTCTACAGTGATGAACGAAATGTAGCCCTGTTCATGCAGAGCCTATAGGATCATATTCTTAAGTGCCTCTGAAAAGCAAACAACTCTCACTTCTGGAAACTAAAAACCTGATGTCTGCTATAGACTATAAATTCCATGAGGCTAGAACATTAACCTGTCATCTTCTCTACTATATTCCTAGCTTGACATACAGTAGGTGTTTAATACCTATTTGTGGGCTGGCTACCTTAAGTCAGTTCCATTCTGTTGGCTTCAGTATTCTATGGCCAGATTTAGGAAGGTAAGAGTATTTTGAACAGCAGGAGAGTCTGAAATTCAGGCAGTAAAGCAGGTTGCAACAGTCAGAAAGAAGTCACTCTCAGTCAACCTCCAGGGACAGCCACCTCCTCACCAGGTGCAGGACGTGCACCAAGGCCATGAGCCTTGACATAAGTGATCTACGTCCTAGTTTATTGGAATATTTGATCAACAATATTTATTTTTAAGGAAGTACTTGGTTTTATTTGGTTTTTTAAGGTATTGGGGTGGCCAATATAAAGTTATTTTGACACACTTGTTGTTTCTTGGCTGAACCAAACACTTTTTCTGCCTGTGAGGCCCAAGTATTAAATACATATTCTTAGAGTTTGAACTGGTACAGACTTAGGTATAACTGGTCCAATGTCATTTACAGATGAGTAAACTGAGGAACAATTGGGTTGAGAGTTGCCCCAAATGGCATTGTCTCTCTGGATCTGATTGGTAGATATCACAGTGATAATGATCGCTAATCACTGGCTTGGCATTAGCTTTCAGTTTTGTAATTTCCCCTTCCCCCCCTTTAGGAGCAGGCAAGGATAGCAGAGAGCTAGGGGTGATAGTTGGGAAGTACAATTGCAAAATTCCTTGGGGCATGAGGGATTCTTTCTAATAGTCTCTATCAGAGTGAAACGCTCAACTGAGATGGCAAGAGAAACCACAAGCCAGAAGGATTAGAGCCGTGAACCTGATACAGTTACTTGTGGCCTTGGTTGGCTTTCTTTATCCTCAGCTCTGATGAGCTGCATTGTTGGGCTGCACCCCGCAGGCCTGCACCCTTGTAGTTGCCCAGCCTTGAGACTGAATAAAGAACCAGGAGACAGTGACAGAGCCATCAGCCGTTTATCCCGTTTATCAGACAGGGGAGCTTACGTGTCAGAAGCAAAAGGGTCCTGGAGTGACACCCTACGGTGGACGGCAGACTGCAGGCGGGACATGGCGGGAGAAGGGGGCTACCATTTATAGGGGGAATTGACGTCGGTTTGGCTAGTCAGTTACCAGGGAAACCAGCTGGCAGGGGCAAGCACACAATTAGTTACTGATTAAGCCCTGTAATTAAGAGGATTGGATAGTCCTGTGAGTGAAGCAGGGACCGGTGGAGCAGGGGATGTACAGAGGAAGAGAAGAGCCATCTTGAGTGGCCTGACCATACATGCATCTCGAGAAATGTGGGCCCCATCTTTTACTCTGCCCTCGCATGCCCTAGAGTAGAGCACTCTACTCCACCGGTGCTGGTCAAGCAGATCTCTCTGGACCCTTCAGATTATCTCCTTAGAGTAGTGTAAAATGCAAATCCCACTAAAATATACGGGATATATATTTTCCACCATCTTGATCTAGATTTGAATCTCATATATTTCAAAGAATAAAAATGAATTTAAAAAGAAGAGCACCGGGGCTTCCCTGGTGGCGCAGTGGTTGAGAGTCCGCCTGCCCATGCAGGGGACACGGGTTCGTGCCCCGGTCTGGGAAGATCCCACATGCCGCGGAGCGGCTGGGCCCGTGAGCCATGGCCGCTGAGCCTGCGCGTCCGGAGCCTGTGCTCCGCAACGGGAGAGGCCACAACAGTGAGAGGCCCGCGTACCGCAAAAAAAAAAAAAAGAACACCAGGGTTTCCCTGGTGGCATCCACTTGCCATTGCCGGGGACACGGGTTCGAGCCCTGGTCTGGGAAGATCCCACATGCCGCAGAGCAACTAAGCCTGTGCACCACAACTACTGAGCCCGCGTGCGTGCCTAGAGCCGGTGCTCTGCAACAAGAGAAGCCACAGCAATGAGAAGGAGCCCACGCACCACAACGAAGAGTAGCCCCTGCTCACCGTAACTAGAGAAAGCCCACGCACAGTAACGAAGACCCAACGCAGCCAAAAATAAATAAATAATTTTTTTTTAAAAAAAGAAGAGCACCACCTTTAGGGGTTTAAAAGAAAATTGAACAGACATATGTTTCCATTACATGTTAAAGTTCTTTAAAATGAACATTTCTTTCCTTTAACTGTATTTCGGTTCACCTTGGAGATTCTCCTCCTTCTAAAGGAGGGAAGGACCTCCTGCTTTCCCCATCACAGGGAGGGGGCGGAGCATCCTCTAGAAGCCTGGAAGCGAACCGGCCCTGGCCAGTCTTGCGGGAGGAGTCGCTTTACATACAGACTTCCGAAGCCTCCCCCGAAGAGAGAAGAGAAGCTTGGAGCTTAGGTTAATATCAGAGATGCACATGACTTGGGGAATCTGCATGTGATGTCAGCTGAGCCTCAGAAAGTCAGCGCGACCACAAAAGTGCCGAGCAGGGAGAAGGCTCTGCTGGACCAGCAGCTGGAGTGAGAATAAAAACAACCGGATCACACGGCCAGACCCTGCACGACCCACATGACATTGGTCTAATCCAGTCATCACCCATTGAAAACGCTTTATTCAAGCTACTTTGTGAAGTTTCAGAGGATAAGAAGAGGCTACAGCAGTGTGTTCACCAGGAAGGACATCGATTGACACTCACTGGAGGTTACATTCATTAATTCCCCTACAATCTGAAGGTGAATGACATCATCCTTGGTTCTACTCAAGAGACAGGATTCCAAGCCCAGGAGGCAGTGAGTACTGGTGGAGAGAGAGAACACATCTTTTTGTTTGGGACTCTGATAAGACTTTGGCTTTGATTTTGTTTTGCCCTCTTCCCAGCTTTGTGACCTTGAACGTGAGCAAGAGTGCCCATTTCCTCACTCTCTTGTTAACTCTCCATTGTATCATTTTTTGGCCTCATTATAAGTCAAATTAGGTAGAAAAAATAAAAAAATTAAAAAAATAAATAAGGGCTTCCCTGGTGGCACAGTGGTTAAGAATCCGCCTGCCAGTGCAGGGGACACGGGTTCAAGCCCTGGTCCGGGAAGATCCCACATGCGGTGGAGCAACTAAGCCTGTGAGCCACAACTACTGAGCCTGTGCTCTAGAGCCCGGGAGCCACAACTACTGAAGCTTGCGCGCCTAGAGCCCGTGCTCTGCAACAAGAGAAGCCACCACAATGAGAAGCCCACGCAACCACAATGTAAAGTAGTCTCCCCAGCCCCCCTCCCTCCAAGGGGCGAAGAAAAAAAGACCCAATGCAGCCAAAAATAAATAATAAATTAATATAAATAAATAAAAAGAAAAGCACCAAAAATAGGGCATGGATTACAAGGATGTTAACATGTAGAAATGTGTAATAACAATAAGAGACTTTGAGGTATTATAATTAATAGCTTAATATTCAATAGACTTTTTGGTAAAGTTGTTTAAACTTATACAGCATTATTTTGCATGTATGCATAGTAATAGCCATTTGCAGTCACCAATAACTGGGTCATTTAAATGACCAAATTACATAATTCCCATTGGCTGTCTTTACAGAAGGAAGTTTTTTTTTTTAGGAAGTTTTATTTTTCTATGTTGAAAGTGATAAAATGTTCATATATGTTTTTATAAAAGTGATACACAAGAAGTAGGTGGACTGTGGACATTTTTCCTGTAGAATTAAAATGATCTGCGGATCAAAAAGTTTGAGAACTCTTGAGAAAATAAAGGATCAGATAAAGCAGTTAAAGACACGGTCAATTTCCTCCCAGCCCATTCTAGGACTTGTCCACAGACTCTCTTTGACACCATCACCCATATTTATATTGTGTTATATACACATCTAGATGACACATACAGCAAACGAGATATAGAAGGAAACAAAGGTATTTGGAGACACAATTGACTCATTCTCAGCTCGTTTTTTTTTTAAATTTATTTATTTTTGTTTGCGTTGGGTCTTTGTTGCTGCGCGCAGGCTTTCTCTAGCTGCGGTGTGCAGGCTTCTCTTTGCAGTGGCTTCTCTGGTTGCAGGGCACGGGCTCGAGGCGCGGGCTTCAGTAGTTGTGGCTTGAGGGCTCTAGAGCACAGGCTCAGTAGTTGTGGCTCACGGGCTTAGTTACTACACCGCATGTAGGATCTTCCCGGACCAGGGCTCGAACCTGTGCCCCCTGCACTGACAGACGGATTCTTAACCACTGTGCCACCAGGGAAGCCCCTCAGCTCTTCTTATAATGCCTTTGTTTCTACATTCTCCATGATTGGGGGGAAGCAACATATCTCTACAGCATTTAGAAATATGACCAACACCTGAAGCATTTGTCAGTGACTGGATCATTTACACTGCTAAATTACCATAACTCCCACAGTCCATCTTTAGAGAAAGGAGTTTTATTTTTCTGTCTTTAAAATGAGGTAATATTTAATTTAATGTGTCTAATAGTTGCATTCACTACAGTATTCTTAATCCATAGAATTGAAATTACAAGCAAAGTTTATGAGATTCTATGATCTAAAATGCTATCCTTTACATTTTAAATTTTGTAGGAAAAAAAGTCAATTCTGTTTCGTAGTACTCTATCATATTCAAAAGCCTATTTTCTTACTGTGGAGAAGAGATCATGTTTACATAACATTTATGACACAATCAGATTTCATAGTTCTATGGCTTTTTTTCTGTCCCGAAGTAAAATTAGGTTTCCTTATATGGAAAAAGATTTTGAAAGTCAGGGAAGAAATACATAAAAACATTAACAAAATTAAATAATTTTACACAAATTTTTCTTCAAGGAGTATATACACTACTTTGAAAATTGTAATAAAATATTCCTTTAAAATTTTTTTTTTTTTTGCGGTATGCGGGCCTCTCACTGTTGTGGCGTCTCCCGCTGCGGAGCACAGGCTCCGGACGCGCAGGCTCAGCGGCCATGGCTCACGGGTCCAGCCGCTCTGCGGCATATGGGATCTTCGCGGACCGGGGAAACGAACCCGTGTTCCTTGCATCGGCAGGGAAACTCTCAACAACTGCGCCACCAAGGAAGCCCCCACCAAAAATCTTTTACAGACTTTTGCCAAGTGTTCTCCCCGTCACGGAATAATTCCTGGCCAGTGCTGAGCCACAAGGGGGCAGCGGCTCCCTGGGAATTGGCACTTGCCGGCAAATCATGCAGCTCAGCCTGAAACCAGCTCAGTCATGTGTCTAGTGCATTGCCACTGGCCTGGGAGAGTCACATTTCACTTGCAAACTGCTTTTAAAGACTCCTGCTTTGATTCTTTGAAGACACTGTTTCTATGAATAACACCGAAAGAGTGGTCCAGTTGGAGCTCATGCGGGGTCAAGGACCTAAGTGAAATGCTGACAAATAAACAGTTTTACCCTCTGGAGTAGGGGTTAGGCAAATGCTCTCAGATTGTGGCTGGAAAGGGTGTTTGAAAAGCTGCCAGAGGAGGAGGGTGCAAGCTTAGGTGACCTGAGCAAAAAGCTCTGGCCCGACAGGCCTAAGAGAAGACCGCTCTTCCGTGGTGGGCAGGTTTATGAAGAAGCTTCCAACCTTTCTTCTCTAGGTTTTCTGCCTCCTGTCCCTCTCTGGTTCAACATCTTTCATGCTGACTAAAACTTCTGCCCTGGTAACCATATCCATTAATTCAGAAAATCCATAATATCCAATATTAGCTTGGCTATTTACAGTTTCCAAAGTCTTTCATACTTTATAGACCACTTTCATGTATATTTATCACCCACCATTTGAAATGCTTTGACTTTTGACACCCACTTTTTAGTGAACTTTATTACTGGAAATAGACTCCATCATACAGACCAAAGCTAATACCAAAACACCAATGAAAAGCTGGGAACCAAGTGCCAAGGACATCGCATTAGCCTGGAAACACGGACCAAGCTGCAGGGTAAACGGTGTGATGTGGGCAGAATGGAAGTGTTAGAATTTGGGTTAGGGAGCTCAGGAATGAATTCCTTTCTGAAAAGGAAGGGCAAGGTGGCACTGTAGAAGCAATTTGCCACTCAAAGACTTTCAGAGGCATCCATGTGCATGGAATCGACAATGAATATTTGTGAGACAGATGACCCTAACTTGCAATGTCATATGTTCATCTTTGGAGGAGTGAAGAAATCCTTTGTTTGCCATAGGGTGATGTATTAGGGAAACTTGTCCTCCTAAACCATATATCTTGATAAGTTGCAACAAGTCTAAGCTATGCAGAAGAATCTCACAAAAGAAGCATCTACTACGTAGTTTTGAAGGCTGTGTGGCTTTACGTATTTAATAAAGGCACATATATTTGGAGGGGTTTTTTTGTTCTATTTTTGTGATCAATTTTATAATTTTTGTGATAGGAAACAGCATTGTGCTTATAGGAATTCAGGGTTAAATTCATGATGGCTTCTCTTTTGATTGTCAACCAGGAATGATTTGGTTGAAAGTTGGGGGTTGTTGTGTTTCTATTCTATGGTTTAGGAGAAAATCTGAAACAGGTTAAGTGTCATGGTCAATCAAAGGGCATAGCAGATCTTTTGACTCTAAATCTGGGATTCTTTTTTTTTTTTTTTTTAAATCACTGTGCTCTGAAAATATCTCACTCTGTTAAGGAAATCCTATCACCAGACCACTTTTGCTTCATCTCTCTGCAGTGGATTTGGTGGCTACTGTTTTCTAATTCTGAACCTAAAAAACTAAGGCTCCAAAAGCATTTGGTGTTTTCTTTTTCTTTTTTTTTTATGGTCGCACCACGTGGCTTGCAGGATCCCTGCCCAGCGATCGAACCCGTGCCCCCTGCAATGGAAGTGCAGAGTCCTAACCAACCGTTGGACCGCCAGGGAATTCCCAGCATTTGGTGTTTTCAGTGCTGCTGAGTGAGGAGTTTCTTACTTAGACCCTGTTGGGAAAAAAGTTGGTCTCTAAGTAGGTGGCAGCACTTGGGTGGTTTATTATTTGTTGAGAATCAAGCATGTGCTCGGTCCGGTAAAATGACGCATGGTACAGTCTGTGCCTTCTATAAGCCACCTTCTCAGGCTCCTTGGCTCATATCATAGACAGAGAATAAAATAAGCAACAGACCAAGGGGTGTAATGTGAATCTTAGAAAGTTGTTGTTAAATAGAAATCACATTAGCAGCAAAGTAAATCAAAGCACCTTGGACACATTTTATACACTTAACCAAAATTTAGAGTTAATATTAGGTCCATAAAATCGTAGTTTGTAAGGCTAGGATTAGCAACTTCTCTGCACCCTTTCAAACTGATTCTCTTTTGGGACAGATCTTCCTTTCACTTTCTTCAGCACTCTTTCTAAGGACTCCCCAAAATATATACCCCACTGACCTTCTACAAATGCCTGAACATCCACTTATCCATCGTAATAAACTGCTCTTTCACATTCTTCTTTTAATGTGCAAATATCCCATAGAAAGGTAATATATTAAATTCTTAACACAGGGATGGCAAATTCTAGGCAAATCTCCTGGCACACTCCTGGTCTATGGCAGACATGCACGCTTTCTCAAGGAGTCTGGAGTTAAATCCTCAACACAGTGCTCCTGGCAGCCTATCCAGGCTAATCAAAGTTGGCAGATGACCTGAAGCCTCTTTGGCATCCCTGTTGTAGCAGTGTAAATTGAATGAACTGATAATACAATATCCCCTTGGT